CCCCCGTACGTCGTATGGAGTGTTACACAGCTGCCTACACGCGTGTCTGCAAAATCTGAACTCGACCAATTTCCCGAATGTCTGAATGCCTGCCCATCCTACAGTATGAATTGTGAAACCCCTTTTCTCGTCATTGCCCGCGAGTGTGTAAGAGATCGGGAATTCTTGGAATAGTGGGAGCACTCTCATTTGGCTGCAGGACCCAAGGCGAAACCCCCTGAATTTTCCTACTTAACGGGGAACAAACGTATTTGCGAGTGGAACCTCGACCAGGCTTTGGGACATATCCCCTTTTCCCCCGCTACTCTAGCCCATAAACGTGACACGTCGTCACGGACCCCGAAATCATTATCCTAGGGACTGAATTCCCTCCGTATCACCACATCCTACCCTATCACTCCCTAATTGTCGTTCCCTGGCTCGCAATCGCCCCCTATTTGCCCCAAGCCCCGTGCTCGGTGTGTCTGCGGGACCACTAGTACCGAGCTTCCAGCTTCATCCGGCGAACTCGCTCGGAGGAAGAACGATGGGTGCACAGCCTTCGGTTAAGGCCAATTGCATCGGACTCGGAGACTTGTGATGTTCGACGACGGCATGTGACGAGTCAGCGGGACAACCATAATGTCCCGACAGTGCACCAGATACGACCCCGGCCTAGGCGGCGGAACAACGGAGGTGGTAGCCCCGTTTCCCGAAGCACAAAGGAGTCTAGTCTATGCCTACCCTCCTGTATTCGTATCCCGGAGGTTGCCATAGGAGATCTCAGTTCCGACCTGGGACTCGAACCCCTCACTTTCCTAAAATCCTTAACACACCCCCTTTTCGCACTTCCAGGCCCACTCATACTGCGGACAGGAAGTCGCGCCGGGTGTGAGGTTGGGCGTCACAGCCCAGCCAGGGTGCAAAAATGACACGAAAAGTCATTTTGGGGCTTGCGACACATTTTGCACACCTTGCGATACTTTTGCCATGGCCACCGTTCTTTTTCCTCTTCATGAGGCCAAAGCTATGGCTGACTACTAGGGCCTCGCCTTGCTATGCAAATGACAACACAAAGCAACTATTCTCACTGCATTTCAAGTGTCATGCCTGACCCCGCCTTGAAGCCTTCTTGATGCGGTGCAACCGCAACTGGGGCCTTCTAGATGCAGCACCTAACACGGTGATGAAAATGGTTCCCACCATGGCCAGGTAGGTMCCTCGCCACTCTCCTCCTYAGTCCTCTTCTCCCTCCTACTACCGGTAGATCTCCACCATAGTCGTGGTTGGARCTCCCGGTYTCCTTCCTCCTAGCAACGCTGAAGTGCCCAACGCTCCTCCAGCCAACGCTACAAGCAGTGTGTTGCCAAACTTGGACACAGAATAATGAGGAGGAACACTTTGCTCCTC